AGGTCGGCTGCAGCGTCGTGGTTACCCCCTCACAGGGAGGGGAATGCTCTGTGGCGGCGACCTCCCTACGCTGACGGGGGGTTGCTTTGCCGCCTAGCTAGCGGTTTAGGTGCCTGGTAGCCTTCTCTGGGTGCGGTAGTGCCAAGACCTTTTCTTTGTGTGCACCCAAAGGATCGCCGCCGCCCGCTGGCCAGACCCATCTGGCGTTGGCTGGGCCGTCCACGGGCCCCCAACCGTCAAATTGTTTTGTACCTTCCACTTCATCTGCCCCACATCTAATATCGGGAATCGGCATGACAATGCACGGGGTTGCCGCCCGACATGAAAAATGATGATATATTACCAGTGAAAAGCCCACGCAAAATCCCGATTATCCACCTCTCCTTGGACTGCTACCACACACGGCAATGACCGTCATCCCCACCTACCACGGCTACATTGGTCTGACTGCCGACGCCATGCTCGTGGTGCAGCAGGTGCTAGCCCGCAAGTTGCCCGCGGTGTACCAGCGGCCGCTGCCCACCGAACGCTCCCAGTTGATCTGTCTGGGCAACGTGTTTGTGTTTGTTGAACGCCACCTGGGCATCCGCCGCTGGACCGATGGCGTCCTGTGGCTGCTGCTGCGGATCGTGGGCCGGTTCCTTGTCTACCGCACCAAGCACGACGACTCGCCCCTGCCCCTCGCCACCGTCACCGAAGACGTGCTGAACGACCACCTGCTCATCAAAAAGCTGCTTTCCATCACCACCACCACCGCCGACCTCAACTTCTCCGGCGAGGCCAAGCGCGATACCATCCACTTGGTGCTGTACTATACCCCCCACGACGTCGTCACCGGCAAATTGAGCCGCCCCGTCGAGGACGCCCAGTTCAGCGACGTCGTCATCCGCGACCTGTTGCGCCAGGCGCTCCGAGACTCGAAGTTCGGCAAGCGGGTCGCCGACAACCAGGGCGCCTACACTTACGTCGATGCTAACCACGACGTCAAAGAGATGGTGATGCCGTACCCGCCGCTTAAACGCCACAAGCTGGCACCACCGCTGCTGTTTACCAACGTCGGCAACCTCACGCCCCCGACACCGTACCCGCTGGCGCCGGGGAGCGACGATATCACCGCCTTTGCCGATATCGCTGAGGAGCCGTGGCCGCTTGCGCCTACGTTTGATTTTACCTTCCCTGCCACCCCCGCCACCACCGTCGCTCCCGATAACGCCATTGCCACCGTCACAGATACTACGTGGAGCCAGCTCCCCCCGCTAACGGCGGCGCCGGTGCTTTTAAAACACGCGCCCCAGCTAGCCGACTTTGGCTTTTTAGACGAGGTGCTCGGCCACGACGGTTAAACGGGATATAGGACCCACTGATAGAGTTTAACCATCGATAGGCTTCTGGCTTGACAATAGAACATCATTCTTCCCTTTCTTGCCCTGTTCGTATCAGCTGGCGTCGCCGCCCATTCGGGCGCCTTGCGCCTTTCACCGCGCATCTCGCGGCGCCAGTCTCGGAAACTATGCCCGATTAGCTAACCAGAAATTATTGTCGTCGCCACTAATATAAAGCTTACTCACAGCGCCCACTCAGGGTCCTTTTCGACTATATGCAGGCGGAGGGCTCGATACGTCACTGACCGTGCACCATTGTGGCACCACTCCCACCCACCTGCCGAAATAAGCCATGTAACGCCATCAAGCCATGTAAGAGAGCTCTAAGCGAGAGCTGTCTACTTTACAACCGAATCGGATCAATGGAATGCACATGGCAAATGGTTGCTAGGGATGGTGAGAGATTAGGGTTTTACCGGTCAGCAGTGGCCGCAACCACTAGATTTTCAGGATTTCTTTTACCTAGGGCCATCGTTTTGTGGACGGCTCTACTTTCGCCTTTCGGTAGTCGATGGACGACGTATTGTATTTGCAGCGAATAATTTTTTTTGTCTGGTGTATTTTTTGAGGGTATCTCCACTTTGGCTTTGTGTCAGCAAATCTTTATTGTTCCTGGAGACTTCCGATGGGGCGATTACGCCTCTCTCAGAGAGTGGAGGCCTCATCCTGTCCCATGGGTGAGGGTGAATATTATTGTGATGCGGATTTCCGATACCCCGGCATTGTTTCCGGAACTCCTCGCACCGAGACCCACATTTCACAAGGAAATTTCGTCGATAAGCTGATAATGGCACCACAGTATCAACGTCGAGTTTCGAGAAACCACTACGTCATCGTGATGTGGAGTAAACAGGCCTCGGTATACGGGCTAATGGAAACGGCGCGTGTTTCATGTCGTTCGTATGTAGTGGCACAAACGAATGTCGACATCCCCATGTACATCGTGGAGGACATCACTGGGAGAAAAATTATAATCTGGCTAATGATAACTGAATCGTGGCGCTAATCGATAAATGAGGGGACGGTGACACACGTGATGCGTTAGTAGTTATCGATAGTGGTTCTCCACTACGATAAATCGACGATGAAAAAGCACCTTGAAGTCATCCTTGGTGTTCTATCCTGATAATGGCAGTGTCGGTGCTGTCATCCTCGGTAGAGTACTTTAACACCCGAAAATAGCACCACCGAGGGAACGATTAATGTCTGAGTGGCCAGTGGCACATAACCTGCAAATCACCCATAGTAGAAAAAAAAAGAACTTTGACTCTAGAAAAAGCATTACGGACATATCAAGCGATGTCCGGGAATACATCAGCCGGGTAGATCACCGGCCAGCGTCACATGCCAACAGATAATCCATTAGCCCCAGACCACCTAGCGAAAAGTGCCGCTATACCGCTTGCCAACTCGTATCCTCGCGATAGCCTTTATCGCGTCAGTGGTGACCACAGAGCCAGTGACTACCCACAGCCACCGCCTCCCGGAGGGCGCCAAGCCGTCTGTCGTCGCCCTAGGCGGCAGGGTAGACAGACCACAAAAAAGAAATTGCGCTTTCGCAGCGCTTTTACCTTGCTCGACGTTTAGCGACACGCACCCACCCCGTGGGGGAGACGGGCCTGTGGGGGAGACGGGCCTGTGGGGGAGACGGGCCTGTGGGGCGGTGCTGAGGGTAGGCAGCAGCAGCAAGTGGGTGGAGAGAGGTTCCGGCGCGCGTCGACGTCACTGGGAAGGAATGACTCGTCGTATTCCCTCGATTAGGGAGGGTTGGCGGAATCGCTGCAACGGGTTGTAGGCGACAATACGGGCACCCGCCCCTGGGGAGAGAGCCGGGGTTATTCTGGAGTTCGAGGCATTTTCTCACATGGCCCTCGCACAAGGGGAGGGGCTTCATGTGGGGCTCGCCATACGAGTACGAGGGGAGGGAAATGTGGAGAGACGGGCGAGTGGGTGAAGTGGAGCAGAACAATAGATCCGAAATGGAGTTTGGTGCTGTGGGCATGGGGTGCCGCGCTGGACTTTAGAGTACTAAGGGGGTTAGAGGAGGGGGTTTATGTGAAACAATGGTGGTTACCCACGTTTTTCGGTGATTGCGTGGGGTCACCAGCTACCCCCACCACACCTGTCTCCTGTCGAAGAGTGGGGCTTCAATGGGGGCTAGCTTTTTGTTTTGTTCGCGGCTACCCTCATTGTTCGCAGTCTCGCGAATTTTGGTGGTAGGCATCGCGAAGACGGCTCCCCGCCACAGAGGGGCAGCCTCATCGCGCGACTAGGCACCCCCTCAGTAAATGCCCCGGAAGAAGTCAGCGAGAAAGCTCGCCGAGGCCCAAGCCGCCACCGCTACGACTAAAACCGACAATGGCGACGACATGAACGCCCGCAAAATGCCAGTGGTCGATCTGGCGGCTGCCGCCGGCGACGCCGCCGGTGATGACGATAACGATGACGATGACCTGCTGACCTCTGAAGAGGAAGACGAGTTTGGCGAGCTTATCACCGAGAATGTCGAGCTGGGGATCCAGCAGGTGCTTGATGCCATCAAGCGGAACGACCCCAAGTTGAGCGACCCTAACTACCGCTTCTTTGAGGACCCCGAGAAGGCAGTGGCTAACCTCAATGTCCAACCTAAGGAGAAACCATTATACCTTAAAGACTACCACCGCAAACAAATTTTAAGTGGTGGCTACAAGGATGAGGACGAGGATGATGAAGAAGAAGAAATGGAGAATGAGTACGGTACCGTCGACGGTAAGAAGCCGTATGTGGTGGAAAAGCAAGAAGAGAAAGACGCGATTTTAGCTGAGATCAAGGACGCGTTTGACAACGCTGCCTCTGATGACGAGGACGATGATGGTGAATTTATGAAGAAGAAAGAAGCCAAGATTGGTGATATCCACGATGCCGAACCGTCACTTCCCGACCCTAATGCCGACGCCGAAGCGTTTCTTCAACTGTTCTTGGATCAGCAAGCATGGATCCCTAAGAAGACTGATAAGATGGTCAATTTGGACAGAATCGATGCTGACGATGCCCAAGAGTTTGAAGAGGCTGCCGAACAATTTGAACACGCTTATAATTTCCGTTACGAAGATAAGGAAGCAGCCGAGATCGTGTCTTACGCCAGAGACCAGGCGTCGATGAGACGGGAGAAGACTAGTGCTCGGGCGCGTAAGCGTCAAGAACAGCGAGAGGCGAAGCGGAAGGAGAAGGAAGCTACTCAGGAAGCACTCACCAAGAAGAAGAACCAAAAGGTGAACTTGGTGATGGACCGGTTAGCTGAAATTAAGAAGGCTGTGGGTGGTGACGTTAGCGACGAAGTCATCGAACGAGTATTTGGCAAATCGTTATTAAATGACGAATTTAACGATGACGACTGGGACGCTAAGATGGCGGAAATCTTTAATGAACAATTTGCCGATGACCACGACGCCAACGTAAAGCCTGAATGGGACGACGAAGACGACGAAGCCATCGCCGGGTTTGAAGACGCAGAGATCGATATGGACGCTGACTCTACTAAGACCACTAAGACTAAAAAGAAGAAGCTGGATAAAAAGCAGGAGAAGAAGCTGAAAGAGGCGTTGAAGTCGGCGGCGGCACGGATCGTCGAGTCCGCCACGTTGGACTTGTTCGACGAGATTGTTGAAGAACGGGGCCGTTCCCGTGAAGCTGACGATGACGATGGTGTGGTGTTTAAGTACCGTGAAGTTTCGCCAGAATCGTTCGGGTTGTCCACCCGAGATATCTTGGTTGCCGACGATAAGCAATTGGGTCAATTTTTGAGTATGAAGAAGTTGGCTCCTTACCGGTCAAAGGAGGACGTCCAGCGGGATAAGCGCAAGTATGCCAAGCGCAAGCGCGTCAGAGAATGGAGAAAGAATACCTTCGGCAGCGATGAACCGCAACCAGCCGACGGAAAGTACGATGTGCTCATTCCCACCGAGGATGAACCGCCTCTGAAGAAGAAACGGACAAAGTAGCGGGTTATATAGGAAATGAAAGGTTTATTATAGGCTGTCGTGCACAAGTGGTACCATTTAAACGTCGGAAAGACTTATTTCTGGAAGAGATTAGTGGAGCTGGTAAATTACCAAAGAGCGGGTTTAAAATTTTTGTGTTGTATAATATCCGAAGCTCACTAATAAAACACTTGTATTCTTTTCTAATCAAATCAGTCATATTTATACACCAACCTGCGGCCTCCCACTTTGCCACCATGGAAGCTCCAGGTACCTTCTTCTGCATCTGTCACATGTGTATCGAGCCTTCACATGTGACTGCGTCTGGCTTCTCGAACCTTCCAGACCCTTCGACCAGCATCAGAGTCATTCCTCAATAACTCCGATCTGGAAGCTAGCATTTTACACGACATTTTGCAAATTATCCGGTATGGTGTAATGGCTATCACGGTTCGCTTTCACCGAGCAAATCAGGGTTCGATTCCCTGTACCGGAGTTTCTTTTTCGAGTGCTTCTACGACGCGGACACTCGCAATACATTTAGGTTTTGGGCGCACCCATTGACCGCGTACTTCTCTCTTCACATCTCACCTTCATCCGTGTATATTCGGTCTGATCACGTCGATTCATTAAGGAAAGACCAGCAAAGCAACTCTTAAAATCCGGTTGCCAGTGCCGAGAACTCGAAACTCATAAATCCGCCGGCGATCTTGCCTAATTCTGATTGCGAGCCAGTTACTTCACCCCCTGCGAGAATATACTAGCCATTCCCGAGATCAATACGAGGGCAAACTAACGTTGAATATCGACACAAGACACACTTACAACGATGATATTAGTATCAGCAAATGGCCAACAACCAAACACCTGAATGAATCCTTTCCCGCTCTTCTTTTATGAACTTTTTAGCTTCCATTGCCGTGTCCGCTGGCCACGCTTCCGCGCTGGGGTTCAGCTGCGCCTTGCTTCCTGCATCGCTATGCAAATTTCTCAATCCTGTTGATTCCATCACGTGCCGCACTCACCATTTATACCAAAATTCCGGCAGTGTTTGTAACGCACCTCACGTGTCGCGCGTTGTTTTTTCCTGTAAGCACCACTCAAATTCCACTTTCCCTCTCCACCACCGATCGACACTCTCGCTTTTGCATTTGATGAAGGTATCTCACGTCGTTGTTTCTGGAGCGTTATTGGGGAGCCCTGCCTATGGCATGTGGTTTCGTCGGGAAGCGGTTGACCCCGTGGCGGGCGCCGCTCCCCCCGCCAACGCTGCCAATCCTCCCGCCGCTGCCCCAGCCGCCGCCGCCGCCACGACTCCAGCTGCTGGCGCCGCCGCTGCTGCTACCACTCCGGCAGCGGGTGCTGCTGCTGCCACTACTCCGGCAGCGGGTGCTGCTGCTGCCACTACTCCGGCTGCTGGCGCCGCCGCTGCCACCACGCCCGCCGCCGGAGCCGCTGCCGCGACGACCCCAGCTGCGGGCGCCGCCAATACCACTCCAGCTGCGGGCGCCGCCGCTACCACTCCCGCCGCCGCCGCCGCTGCCGCCACTACTACTACCCCCGCTGCCGGCGCCGCCACCACCACGCCGGCGGCAGCAGCTGACCCTGCCACCGCGAAGACCACCACTCCCGCCGCCGCTGGTGCTGCTACCGCTAAGACCACCACCCCGGCGGCCGATGCGGCTGCTACTGCCAAAACCACCACCACCCCGGCGACTGACCCCGCTGCCGCTGCCAAAACCACCACTACCCCTGCTGCCGCCGACCCTGCGGCTACCACTCCCGCAGCGGCTGATCCTGCTGCCACCACTCCTGCTGCCGGTGCCGCTACCACGACGCCCGGTGTTGCTGGCGCCGCGACCACTCCCGCGACCGGCACTGCCACTACTCCGGTTGCCCCTGGCACGTCCGGCGTCTCCGCGTCGCTGACGTCGAAGATCACTGGTGCCGGTACCCCTGGCGCTCCTGCTGCGGGTGGTCTTGCCACCTACCCTGCCGCGGGCGGGGTGTCCGATGACCCCACCACCAAGTCGTTGACGTTTGTCACGCTGAGGGTGATGCGCTCGAACACCGCTGACCCCAACTACACTCAACCGACTGCCTCCAATGTCTCGAACCAAGTCAACGCGGCCGGTACGCACACGGTGCCCATTTATATGATGCTCGCGTTGGGCGGCATTTCGGCTGCGATGGGTTTAATTTAGACGACAAAACTGGTATTTTCTTTGGGATTGACGGAGTCACCGTCATCAACGATATAGACACGGTATAACAAATGTAACGGATTGGTTTTTTTTGTGTGATCAAATAATTTGAAACATAACCCACGGCGACAAGCACCTCCCCGTGATTAAGGTTTACACGAGACTTAGAGTCGCGCTGGAAATCAAACGCCAAGCGAGTGGCCAAAACAGAGGGAACAAAAGTAGTTCTAATCGAGTAAATTCTCACTGATTTGTTTTATACAAAGTTAGGTTGGAGATATTTTTCGTGGCGATAGCTTTGGGGTTTAACTGTTGATGTTCTTGAGTTTCTTATTGATAGCTCTCCGGCAAGAAATCGTAGTTATTCAATTTGACGGCGCATTTGAAAAAAAAATGGACCGGGGTCTAGACGCTCACTCCCGCTAAAGCTTTCCACGCCACCTGGGACCTAACTTTCGGAAAAACAAAACCCTATCTCTATACATACCAGACACAAGCTGTCTCAACACGTATCAGCACACGTATTACTGTTGACGTGACCCAGTTTCATTCCATAGTCTAGAAGCGACGACAAACCCTCAAGGGTATGTTTTTAGTGACTGCTTATGAAATGGTATGTCTCACATCGTATTGATCATCGAATGATGCCTGCCGTTTATCGAAATGGTATATGAAATGCCGACGGTAGGACAATAACAAATGTAGTGAAGGTGGTGACGGTAGTCAACGGCAACCGCTAGTTCGCAAAGATTTTCCTTAAGTCTGGATGAGGGGGAAACGCCAAAACAAAGCTCCTGACAATTAATCTCTCAGACAGTGACTGGGTATACATTTATTACTTCGTTGATGAGTTTCACACCTTGCCAACTTGAGTGGTATCGAGGATGATAGAAATATACGAGATGGGGATCCAGGAACGGAGAAAGTTCGGCTCCATACCGCCTTACTCAGTAAACTGCTCACGGCAAATACTCCCGCGACACGCCAGTGCAGAGTCTAGATTACGCATGGCCTTTTTACCCGGGCCACAGCTGGTCATTGCCGGGCGAGGCCGATACGGTCTCACGGCATCGCACGGATAAATTTTGTAAGCATTCCCTATCGGCAAGGATCGTGCGTGAGTGCGGGACATTCTCACCTGAATAAGGTTCCTTGACGACGTCTTAAACAAAAATTTAGAGGAAAATAGCTTTAAAATCGGTTACGTTTTACATAGTTGACCACTAGCGTCGAGCTAATAGAGACCACCTTACCAATTTGACGATCCCATTGTGTGGATACGTCACCCCCTGCTCACGGTAGTTGCAGGTCTTTGTTGAGCGTCATCTGCGGATACCCCTACGTCGGCGCGCGCCTCAGCACTAAATCTAGAATACGTACGGTACCTCCTGGGGCAACGACGAGGTTGACGAGCCAGCCAAACGAGCCAGACTGGCTGGACATTCCAGACAGACAAGATAACAGCTGAACAACTATCCAATTGTTGATATTTATTGCCTCGTAAACAATTAACACTTTGCATTATTAGTACCCCACACCCGTATTCGTATTCTCTCCCCTGTCGTGTGCCGGTTACTCGTAGCCACCCCCCCTGCCCTTACCGGCACTAGTGCCAACGGGCATTCCTGGGAAATACGTGCATACGTCGAAAACGGCGCCGATCTCAAGCACTATATATTGCGATAATCCCCTGCAATTCACTCCGCTACGCTTTGTTTGGGTCGAGATCCTACCACCAATTCTATCCACCACTGGGACCATACAACTCACTGGCCGCACCTGATCCCACCTTTGATCGCTGCAATTTGTCGCCGTCGCTTCGTCACAAAAGCTGTAACAAAACAAAGACGTTTACATCGACCGTGTGTTCGGGGTACTGCCTAAATTTCCAGTGAGCCATCACCTCTTTTTTTCTTGGGTCGCGTCGTATTAAGCTTTTGTTGTGCGCAAGGCACACACCCTTCGCCCCCTTTCGTCCCCAGACACCCCCCAGGGCTACCTAACCCGTGAGCATAAGAAAAACAAAAGGACAAAAAAATGGTGCTGCTGCCAGTGATCTCTCCCCTTCACCAGTTGGAACGCCAGGTAGAAGCCTCGGCTCCCCCACGTCCGCGTCCGCTACCCTCGACCCTATCGCGCTTGGTTCTGCTGCGCAGTCAACCGCGCCTCGACCGCGCCCGCTCCCTCCCGTTTAGACGCCAACTGCCAGCGCTTAAGCGATCCCACACCACCCGCGACGTGGTTACATTGGTCACCGTATCTGCCGGCGACATCGCCCTGATCCCGCTGCGCCCGCTGAGCTTCGTGTCCGCTAAGCTGCCGCTCTTCCCCTCGAAGCCGGCGCTGCTGCTGCCGCGGATGGCGCCCCCGCCACCACCCCCACCCCCGTCAGCGCCAGCGATGGCGTCGCAACCGCAGTGGACACGCTCCTTCTCAGCCCCCGAGGCCCCCACCGTCACCAACCCCACCACCAACGCTATCTCTACTGCCCGTTATACTGTCGACGACACCATGGGTGACATGCCTTCGATCCAGTTTGATCGCGCTCTGGTCTATCTGTTTGATCTGGTGAGTACGCTGGGGCGCCTTTTGGATCGCCTCGACTTGGACGACGACGGCTACGATCACGACGTGCTGGACGACTTCGACTATGCCGGAGAGATCGCCCTGATCATGACCACACCGATGGCGAGCGATGGCGCCGGCGCCGTCGCGACACTGTCAGTGTTTACCCCGACCAAAGCGGCCCCGACAACGCTAGCACCGCCACGTCCCGCTAACGGCATCATCGAGGAGGACAGCTACATCGCCAGCGAGTCCAGCGACGACGACTACGACTCGCTGTACGCTACCATCACCCACCCACAGGTGACGCTGTTGCGGAAAGTGCTGGGACTGTCGCTCCACCTGGTACCGCCGACGCCTCCACGTCTGGCGAAGCGGCCGCCAGCACCGGTGCCATCGCTGCCGGTGCCATCGCCTCCATTGGGGCGCAGCTTAGCCCCCCAGCGCACCTCAGCATACCCCGCCATGTACACCTACGGCGCTGGCGACACCGCCGTCGGATCCGGCTACCGGCTGCCGTCGCTGCTGCCAACAATCCCCCCGCCCCGGGCTAGTCCTGGCGCCGATAAGTCGCTGGCGTACGGCATCGACATCCCCCACTGTGTCAACCACGACTACTCGGCGGCGCTGGTGCGCAACTTGGCGCTCGACGACGGCGATATCCCGCTAAACATCAACGTCAACGCCAACCGGCTGCTTGACCTGTTCCGCGCCGATACCGGCCCTCCTAAACGGCTTGCAGTGCACCGCACCCGCACGCGTACCACTAAGGCGCTGGTGGTCCAAAAACAACTTCCTGACGCCCCCATCGCCGCTAGTACCCACGACGTCGCCACGCTGATGGCCCCACCGCTGGCGCCGGCACTTCAGATGCGGAGTGTGTCGGCCCCCTCCACCACCAGCTCAGCCCGCAATCTGGCGCAGCAGCTGCTGCGGTCAACGCAGTTGTACCCGCCGTATAGGGCCGTGTCGGAAAAACCAGCGGGGCTCCAGCTGCCATTCCAACAGTCGAAATCCCAATTCAGTACGCACAGACGCGACAAGAAACGGCTGCCACCCACTACACCGCCTCACAACGCGTTGTCGTCTAAAGGTAGCCCTACACCTCACTTGCTGACGGCACTGCTCACCCAAGATATGACTCCTGAGGCCCGCACTAAGCTTGCCCTTCAATTTCGCAACATCGGTAAACACCGCGAAGCCCTGTACCAACTTCAGATCGCAGCCCTGCCACCTGATAACTTCCCTAAGGCGATGTTCTTATACGCAATGGCCCTCCGGTTCGGTTTGGGTGTGAAGCAAAACGATCGTCTGTGCATTAAATGGTTGGGCAAGTGCATCTTGATGTTCTCACAACCGAAAGCGTTAGCAGACATTGTCGATAAGCTTAATGCACTTCAACCGGAAGAGCTCGTGAAGCTCATTGTGAAGAAGTTGGCCTACGATACCCAGAAGGACCCCGTCAATAACGGTAGCGACCCGTACCAGTTGTTCGATCAAATGAGCCGTCTCTCGAAGACCGACATCCTCAAGATTGCCAATACTAGTAAAAATCAAAGTGATATCCTCGCGGTGGCTTATTTCGAGTTAGCGAATGCAGTATTGAATGGCTGGGGGTTGAACCACAAGGAGGAAGCCCAGGGTATCAAATTGTTGCTGAAGTCAGCGGCAATGGGGTACGTACAGGCCATGATGCAATTGGGCGAGATCTGGACAACTAAGTCCAAAACGCGCAAAAAGGATTTGAACAAGGCAGCAGTGTGGTTGCGGTTGCTGGAGTTATTTGGAGCTAAAAGCATGGGCAATTCGTGGATTTACAAGAGTAAATACATGAAGCGCAAATAGATATACCCGTATTTACACATAGTCATACACAATCGATCAATAAAGCATTCACTGAAATTGGCTTTCCATAACAATGATAAAAAAGCATCCTTACTTCCATATCAGTAAATATCATTCCGTTACCTTAGCACCTCAAACTTAATCGTCCACTTCTGGACCATCCACACGAGCGAATGCTGCAGATTGCACATTCCAGCCGGCAGTACTCTGTGATTAGGCGTGAACCAGTCGATAACTATCGCATGATGTGGATGAAGTGCTTGTTGTTTTGCTTCGTATAAATTCCTCTACCCCAAATGCGCGCGCGTTTCAATATTTAGATTGTAATAGTTGGACATCAAATATATATTGAGGCAACACGATCATTGGGATGTAAAAGTTTGACGCATTTGAAAGCAGCGAAGCATAAGCCACTATTGTCGTATGTGCAAACATGGTAGTGGAGGCTCTCGGTGCATTTTACTGACGGGATCGTTTAGCATTCAATGATAGCTGCACAACGCGTACCTTGCATAGAAGTGAACTAACGTGTCAGCCCATCTTCAGTCACGATTAACGGGGGAATCTACTTTCACAACTGCTTTTATCTATGATGGTCGATGCGAATAAAACGACGCTGTTATACTGTTACCTTGTGCTATTACCTGGCAGTAGTCAATGTTTGTTTACTATTGCCATCAGCAATGTCGGCTCGTATTTCGCATCGCGAGCGGCTGATGCGTGTTTACCTAGCTTTCAAGACTCGCGTTTCGCTTGAACATGTACCTGCGCATGTGTTAGTGAGATTTGGAGTATAAATAACCCATGGTCGGATATTAATTTCACAACCCAGGGCACCACCATGAGAATTTTACCTTTCTTGATTACGGTGATTTCCGCTCACCGCGTGTTGAATGGTTTGAGCGACGGTATCGATAACTTCGTCGAAATTCAAGCTCGTGACGACAACCAAGGCAATGCCCAAATTGACGCTCAACCCGAGCAAAGTGACAATCAAAACCAAAACCAAGGACAAGATAACAACCAAGGTTCCAACAATGACAACAATCAAGGGAACTCCCAGGGTCAAGATCAAAACGGAAACGATCAGGATGGAGATCAAGCTGTAAACCAGCTTCAGAGCATCGCCACTACTCAAATCACCAAAGCAACTGACGGCAATGATCAAACAACCACCCAAGTTAACACTCAACCAAAAGCTTTACCAACTGCTCTTTTCTATACCTATGTCCCTCCCCAAGTTAAAGATGACGCTAAAAGTTTGAGCACAATTGGAAAGTGGGATGTATACGCCAGTGACGAAGCAGCCAATATTGGTGATGCTGATTTCTTAAGCATCTTAGACAATGTTGCTGCAGCATGCGTCGATGGAAACAGCATTCAATGTCAGGAGGATAAGTCATATGGCTTGGACACCAACCTTATCTATGGCGGTTACCTTGACCATACCCAAAAGAAGATTATGTTTCGAGGCAATTTTGCAAGTGAAGCTCGGTTGAAAAAAGCGGTTGAAATTCTTAAGCAAGTTTACGCCGACGGCTACAAGCAAAAGAAAGACGTACAAGCTCAGCAGTATGGCAACGGGAAGAGAATCATGGACTTCAACCCTATTGCTGAAGGAGTGCACAATGTTGTGAGAGATCAGAACTACGTGCCAAAAGTTGTAGGAGTTCAGTTTTACAACACTGATGAAGCTGAAGGCGGAAAATTGATGATTCGAATTGATAATGCAGCAACCGAAGACAGCAGCTTTTTGTCAGTTTTATTTGGATCTTTTGCTGCCGCTGCGGGCATCTTCGCTGGGGGCGTGGGGGGGATGTTAGTAAATGGCGTTGCACTCAGCGCCAGCAGTATTTTGGGTGATCAGGGTGTCTCCAACCCCCCCTGGCCATACTAGTGTTATGTTTATAATATTTCTAATTTATGACCATGAACTTTTCATTAGCCACTAGGAATGCCCCCTAACTCAAATGAGAATGTCGATTGCCTTCTAATGATATGGTTGTTTCATTAATGCTAATTGAGGTAAATGCTAAATGACTAAAAAAACGGCGACCAGCCCTGATAAATCAATGCCAAGTTTTCGTCGCTGGTCGCCTCATGAATGAGTTCTCGCACATTGGCTTCCACACTCAAATTGCCTGGGATCCCCCTCAATTTATCACTGACAGTGACAATTGCTTTAGCCGCTTCACTACCATCATCCTCCAAAAGCGCTTTCGGCTCAGTCACAACACCACTGGCTTTACCATCCAGTTGTAACCGCGCCAACTTTGCCGCCAGCACCAGCCACAGATACAAAGGGTCCCACCGGAGCACGTCCAAAATTGCCAAAATGTGGCTGCGATTAGCTCGGAGCACCGTAAGCGTGTATTCACACCCTTTAGTGAACATCCCGTTGACGCCACTGGGACCAAAGCCGTCGACAATGTCGCGAGTAAGTCGAAAAGGTACGGTTTCAGGAACTGTAAGTCGTTTCCCTTGGTCGAATGCCACCCCTAGATCGATATGAATTGGATCGCCGGAACCAGTGTCTATCATCACGTTATTACAGTGGCGATCACCTAATCCCAAGATGTGACCAATCATCAGCAGCAGCGCCACTCCCCTAGTCCAGTTGACCCGACTATCGTACCATGCTTGCGGAGAAACGAACGTATCCCGGAACCAATGGCGCATCACCGGTTTGATATGCTTACATATTTCGCGATATTCAGCAATTCTCAGCGCCCGATCTCCCTTCTGCATTTCCTTCATTCGACTCCGTGCTTCATCGGCAGTCATGGAGTCTTGATTTCGATGATATGGGCGGACTATATCAATGAGCCCAGCCCCCCGAGGGACAAACTCTATCATACCCAGCTGAGGCCCAAGCGGGACAACAGTATACGTTCTGACCCTCAAATTGCGCTTGCGAGCCTGGGAGTCCCGAGTGAGCATTTGGTTCACTTTCTCGAACACTTGTTCCATGATTTGGTCTTGACGAAGATCGTCATTACCGTGTTTCGCAAGCAATTTATGGTGAGTGCCGTCCGAGAGGACGAAAGTGATAATTTTGGGCTTGGAGAGGCCCAGCGGCGCCACTTCCACTTTGGGAAGCGCCAGCGCCATCGTCGGAACTTCAGAATAATCCTCATCAGGACGTACGGGAAGCGACATTGTCGGTGGCGGAACTGGTGGGAGCTCACCGGAGACCCACCCGGAAACATCAGTATCACTGGCCAAATCAATGGTTTTACGGGGCTTTTTCATTGCCACCACAACCACTTGTTTGCAAAACTTGTAAATCATTTTGAGAAGGTGATGGTTGCCGTCGTCATTAGCGATAATACGCTTCCAAAGTTCATACCCTGCTTTGACCTTTGCCTCATTAGGGTTACCAAAGAGAAGTGAAATAAGCTGGTACACAGAGTGGAGCGGGTGGCGCAGCACTAGCTGAATGAGTACCAGCAGCAACACGCGCTGGAATGACGAGTTGCCGCCATCAAGGCGCAGCACCAACTGATTTGTCCACAGAACCAAGTGGTGGGCGGGTATTGCCGCCACCTTATCGGCGATGCGAAACTGGAGGTCATGGTCGTCCAGGGCTTGGAGCCATCCGGCAAAAAAGCGGTCGGTTGTCTCATCGTCAGCGTCCAATGAGGTTTTTGCCATGAAACACTCGACGGCGGTTGCAGCAAACTGGCGCTGGGCAAATACGGCGGTTTCCACTACCAGCTGGAACTGGTTGGCTTGATGTTTGGCGCGGTCGAACTGGCGCCGCGCCTCAGCTAACCGCTTAGCGTCGGGTTTGCGTTGGCCTTCAAGTTGTTGTCGGTGCTTTTTCCAAGTGACTAGCTCCAGGAGCGCGTGCTTTAACCGGCGCTCCGCCACCAGAATTTCCTCAGAGAGACTAGCACTCTTCGCCTGAACCTCGCAAAACGCACCAAACATGCGGTAGGCGCGGGCCATATCCACCGTCCACGCCCCCGGGTCGCTCACTTGCGCGAGTTCCGCGACCTGAGGCACCACCAACCCTTCCATAAGCTTGCGAGGATGCGCCTGCCGCAGCAGCGCTTTCCACTCCACAAGATGGGCAGCGATAAGCAGTCCGTGGACGTTGAGGCCCTGAGCGTGAGCGCCCACATTGATACTAACGAGTCCGACGCCCTCAAGCAAGGAAATGGCGGCAGACGCCATCCCCTGGTCCCAAACGAGGTGGGCATCGTGATATTGGGCCACCCGATCGAGGCCAGGAACCTCGCGGCACTGTTCGTCGATAATGAATGTCGCCTGGATCTTCAGCTTTTGCAGTGTGGCAACCTGAGCAAGGCGCACCAGCTCGAGAATCACCCCTTCAAGGTTCTGCTTTAACTGATACCCCACCTGGCGCGCTTGGATAGCGAGCTCCAGCCCCACCTCTTTAGGTGGTTCCTCCTCGTTGACAATGACATTCACCGCTTCCACCGCCGCCATACATTCAGGAGAAACCCGAGCCGCCCACTTGAGAGCGGTGCCCACATCAAATGTTTGCAGATCATGAACATGTTTGAGCACCGAGTAAATGACGCCATTCTCGGTTGTGGGGCACGCTGGCGGCGGAAGATCCCACTGGTTTAAGCGCCAGCACTGGTAGTCATCATCGGAATCTTGAGGAAGCAGACGGTGACCACAAAATTCGAGAGCATCAGCGTTAGCAGTAAGCCACTGACCCCTTCTCAGGCTATTATGATCACGAACAATCAGGCTAAGTATTGCCGAAAGCGTTGGTGGTTGTGGGAGGCCTTCGATCAAATCATCATCGATTTGAGGATATATGCGGCTAAACACCAGCCAGTCGGGGGTGGTGTCGGCGGCGTCTTCTGCAACCATCATTGCCGTGCGCGGTTGGCCAACAGCAATGGCATAATCGACAATCTTCGCCAAATTTAATTGCTGCCATACAGCGGCGAATGCTGAGGATTTGCCTTCTCGTTTGGCGGCAGCGCGTATTCCCAAAGCAACTTCGACCACCACTTGCTTGTCTTCCATGGATAAAGGAGAGCCGTCATCGGTGAGGGTAGTAAGTACTCCAACTACAGCGTTGATGGCGGCACGCCCTCGTTGCCAGAGGTAATAGCCCACAGTGGCCACCAACCCTCGCCGCGCTAGTTGTGGGAGACTGGCTACCAAAGGCAGCAAGATGCGTGCCACCACTGTCGTATGAGAGAGATCAGCGAGCATGGCAAGCATCCACGGTGCGATCCAATCCTGTTCAAAGTCAATGTCATCGACGGGGACCACCGCTGGAACCTGGGGCATCACCATTTCATAGGCACTCATCGTCATTTCTTGGACATAGCGACCAAACAGCGAGTTGCTAGTGGTAGCGAAATTGGGGAGCACCCCGGGGTAGCCGTGGTCGGCGTATTCCTTCATCAACACTGCGAACGCCGCCTCAACAAACCCCCACTGGCGGAATGAATAAAACTTACGCGACGGTGGGGCCACAAGCAAGCTGAGCACATGGTTGAGCAGCATATAGTCGACAATATCAGCGTCAGTCGAACGTGGCGGCGGGGGCGAATGGCCCTGAAGGTAGTAGCGAGCGCTATACTGTTGGCGCCAAGTCTCTAGCTGTGGCGGCCAGTTGGCCATGGCAGTTATATTGCGCACCACTTCCCGTTTCGGTGCTGTGGGCGGTGGCGGCGTCCATATATGGGCAATAATGGCGACGCCGTCTTCCAACGGTTTATCGGCAAGATAATCTTCGACTTTAGCTTCCGTCAACGTCGAGTGGCGCAGACGCAACCAAGAACTGGCCGCGGCAAACAAAGGCTCTACGCTCAACTGCGTGCGCTCTACCATATGGTTCACTTCAGTGATGATGGCAGCTGGAGGCGCTGGCAGTGCTGTTAATAACAGACGCACAAGCAGAAGGAGAACTGCCACGTCGCTTACCTGGCAGAGGTCAATAAACTCGAGCACGGTATATACGTCCTGGATCACCTCTGGATAAGCAATCATCTGCAGCGCTGCTTCGGTGACAATTGTCGCCAGGTGCCTCAGGATTCCCTGATGGCAAAGCGCGAGTGTCACTTTCACGCGTCGCCACGCTAAGCTGCGTTGATCAGGCATCGTCGCTGCAACCGCGTCGGCGCAAAGATGGCGCAACCAAAAGTACACCCACTTATGGCGCTTGAATCCAGGCTGAGTGCCGTATTCCGCATGTGGAGGCGTCCATTTTTGGGTAATTTCATCAAGAATACCTTTGGCTGTTCTTGGAACGATTCTTAGAGCCAGTGGATCGTCGATAATTGTAGCGGAATCGTGTAATAACGGTAAATGATCGATACCAAAGGCGTCATTTAATTCGTCCTCTTGCGAAACATCAAGCCGGCGTAAAATGGCAAGCATAATCACCATGCTCAGTTCAAACATGGTATCTCTGTCAAACTGAAGCACCAGCTTCAAAGTACGGAATATCGCCCCCTTAGCCTTCTTGGTATAGGCCAATGCTATCAGCTCGGGGAGACTAGCTTCCACGACTGCATTAACTGTAGCTTGCTTCACACCAGCGATATCTTCAAGAACTTCCATTGCTTCGGGAGCAAGCTCCGTTTTGCTGGTATCCCCTTGACGAGGAAGTGCTAGAACCACCGATGTCATTTCCCGTGACAAAGCCAAATAACTCGCTTCGCCTAAATCAATGTCAAATATATCGAAAGGAAAGTGCTTCAACTCGCCTTCCGTAGTCCACTTCCACGCAAGCAAATCATAGCTCACCAGGTGGAAGAGCTCGGCGAGCAGCTGATGATGATAGTGCTGGCTGATTTTGGCGAGAGCAGAGGGCGCATATTCTACCATGCGCTGGTTTTCGGAAACTGCAGCCTCCATAATCGCAAAAAGCGCCAGGTACATAGCCACGTACAGGCCCAGCGCTAGCATCCCTCGATAAATAAGAGTGGTAATGGCCTCAGTGTCGCTATCGGTTGAAATAACAATTGTGGCAGCAGTGATGATTCCCTTTTGCGCTGCTGGTGGGAGTTTCCGGATCAATTGAGCAGTGGCAGAGGCGGTAGCGTATTTGGTTGAAATAGGAGCCAGCGAGAGAAGAGTAGCAAGCATTTTGACCTTCTCGGAGTCTCTATCGGCACCAGCGGAAAGCCATGTAATCACTACATTCAACAGCGGTTCGGTGACCACTAGACTAGCCTTAGTGAGATCCAAAAGCCACCGCGAGATATCCTTATGACGCTTATTCAACTCGTCACTGGCAGCACTCATCTCAACGAGTTTGACTGCCGAAATCACCACGACTTCGGCGCACCGGTAGTCAACCAGAGCAAGCACATTAGTGCCAAAGTAGTCAATGAACTCTGCTAAATTCTCCGAGTTCAAGTTCTCCAAGATCGTTGGTAGGGCCCAAAGAACGACACTTGTATCGATATCATTCAATGCAGGCACAAGCTCCAACGGACGTGTACGGGCAATGAACCGTATAGCACTCACTAGCGTGTTACTATCACTTCTCAATGTAGCCTCAGTCCACGTCGGCACCTCTGCTGTTTCCTGGTTATCGCCAACAGTATCCATATACAGATCAAATACAGCTTCCGCTTCTGGTCGGCGAGAAGTTGACGACTGCACCACCGCCAACGGGTCAAATTTCATTAGTAACCCCACTTCTCGAAGTACCAGTTCACTTAGTAACGGTGATACCCGATTCAAAACTGTCATCACCAGCTTAGCGTCGTCCACAACTAAGTTCAGCAGTTTACCGAGCTGAAGTTCGATAAGGCCAGCAGCAAACGCTACCCCTGGTTGTCCTCCAACAACGTATAACATATCCATAACTTCTGGAGCGACGATCTGGCCACTAACAACAGGTGAACGCCACTGCAACAGTGCAGAGTGGTAGTGTCTAGCGGCGATTTCCTCGACGTCGTTATACGATTTCCAAAATTCAGCGTACTCGTCTTTATCTTTATCGGGAAGTTGTTTCCAAGTACGACCTAAGCGCACCAGCAGGCCAATGAACCCTTCGAGACTACCCCAAATTGAGGCGACATCATCAGCAGTGGCACTACCAATATACGCCAGCCACCGCACGGCAAACCACCTCAGAACCCGCTGAGGCATTTGGGAACTGAGCTTCACGGATAGCGCCGCTGCTGCTTCCAGCAAAAACCCCCAAAATTCAAGCGCCGCCGCCAGCATGACACTAGGCCCGTTGGTATCGGCAAACTGGATAATGCTATTAAGTTGGTGACTCAAAGCGGTCACTTCGAGTGCGTTCGGCAGCAGTTCAATGCCTTTCATCACCGCCAAGCCAAACACTTGGCATGCCATAGGACCCACGGGCACGGGACTTTTGATATATGGGAGGATCTGTCGAAATAGTGCCACTGACGGCTTGGAACTCTCCGGTCGCTTGAGCTGGTGCGCCATCACTTGAAGTGCCCAGTAGGTAAGATCGGGCTCAGTCAAGTAACCCAGCACCACGTCATTAATCAGGATGAACGCGAGAAGTTGGAGGGCAACGTGGTTATCGAAGTCCATTAGCAGAAAGCAGAACCCCACAGCAGTCGAAGCCTGCGCCAATTTGCGTTCAAGAGGCTCTTTGCGTGCTCGTTTTGATGCAACCTCACTTCCACCTCCTCCCGAGGCCGCGGAAGTAGGAGAAGCAGCAGCAGCCAAAAGACCAGTACCAAACCCTAAACTATCCCCGTCAAACAGTTGTTGCTTTTGTTGTTGGTGTTTCACATTGAAATACACCGTGACAAGCTGACTAAGGCCCTGCATGTACCGGTATGGCTCCAGTCCATGTTCATGGTGAGAACGCCACCGCCACTGCGCCATAATCTCCACCGAGCGAAGCAAGTTGACAATCACCTGCTCCATCTGCGGCATTGCATTGGAAGATAAAGATATGGGAGCGTAGTCGATTGTGGTAGGACTATTAAGAAAACACACCACCTGAGTATGCATCGATTCCATTGGCAGGAGCGGCTCCGTAAGCATTTTGAACCCGTAGCCCACTAGACGAGCTACGTATTCAGTATTGATCCCTACCACCATCGGCGCGAGCTTATTAATTAGACGTAGCTGGTTGACTCGCGCTCGAGGATTAGCATCAGCGGCAATGAGAGGCTCAATTTGAAGGTAATGGTTGTAAACCTGTAAATAAGCAGTAGACACGGGACACGCCATCATGTGAGCCACTGCCGCGAGGGTATGAGTAAGTTGTTTTTGGTATATCTTGGACGATTTCGTTGCGTTCGGAGCTGTCGCCAAAAAACGAATAACTCTGGTCCAGTCAGCAGCAGTCATATGGTCTCTCACATAGGTTAGTGATACCACGGCGTCGATGATAAGTAATAAATCCTCAAAACACGGACTTAGCACATGGTGGCACTCATAAGCGGAAATGGCCATGTCCACCACGGATAGGTAACCCTTCAATTTGATATTGACCCGGTTATTGATCAGTTTCACCACCAATTCTCTTACTAAGGTAACACCACGTACAAGCCTGGCTTCCACCGCCGAATTATCCTGGGCTTTGGCGTAGTTGGCGGCTTCGACCGCCACGAACTGGGCTAGCGCTTGGAGGAGAACTCTATAACTTTTGCCATCGATAAGAGGCCGCTGCAGCACCACTGCATCGATATCATCAAGGGCATCGGTACGTTCCTTGACTCGCTTCAGCGTAAGCCGTGGGGCGATGGCCGACACGTCCATATGCGCGTCGCGACACCTTGGGGCCCGTCTTGAATCAAATGTGCCAGAGGGATGACCAGAGGTGAGAACAACATGTGTTTAGCAAGAGCTAGAGATTCTATGGGAAATTTGTCTAGTGATTGAATTGTCATCACTAAAAATGATTTTGCCCCTGTGTTTTTCCAGATCAATCACGAACCAGAAAGCATCATTAGCAGTGATCTACGACCTACTCCTGATCTCCATGAAGATCCATTCCCACACCCTTTAATGTTTCACGTTCAGCTTTTCTGTCTCACTAGGGATTGAGGTGTTGGTACCAAGTGGATGCGATGTTGGTTTCAGAGGCGGTTGATTGTCGTCGCCATATTAGGCCTTGACCCCCAAACGCTATATATATACATTGATGACCAACCATCAGACCTCTACGATCACATGCCCTGTTGTACTCACTGTTTGTTTATTACTGCTCATACCAATCAGTTTTTCTACTGCTGGTTATGGGGTAATGTGTTTCCTGTGCTTTGGCTAGTAAACATCGCCTTCTATGTGCGGACCCTACTTATGGGCCCTTCCCATCCAAGTGCAGACCGCCAGTGTCACGAGCGTACCATAGACCGCTGGCACCGACTTATGGGGTATTTGGTGACGAATATCGCCGTGTGGGGCGTACTCTGCGTCATGGTTGTCGCCATCTTTCGGCTTGAGCCTGCACCCAAAATCGACGAAATTAACCGAATTGATGAAAACTGATTCTTAATCAATTAGTGCATCGATATTTCAACTATTAAATACTTCATTTGCATCAGGCATTAGTCAATAAACTCAGAAGTCAATGTTAACCTCTCCTTTAATGCATCCTCGTTAGTTTGGTTGATTTAACTATGAAAATTTCCTAATTATTTTTGAAACAGTCACACATTTCGGTGACCATTATAATCAATTATCGCCTTTCTTGTCAATTCCTCAATTCTGAGTCCTCTCTCAGTTTCCTAGTACGCGTCCAAACGCGGTGCGCGTGTTCCTTCCTCCCATCGACCAGAGGCCCCCCATGGTGAGCATAGACGACTTTTTCTCTAAGAAAAGCGGGGCCAAGAAACGGCTGGCGCCTCCTCCACAGCCGCTGGCACTGGCGGAACCATCCGGCGACCCCATTGTCATCTCCGACTCCGACCAAGAGCCAGAATCGAGCCAACCACCGCCGTCGAAACGGGCTAAACCCGCTGCGAAACCAGCAGCCAAACCCGCGGCCAAACCCGCAGTGAAAGCTGAATCATCGACTAAAGCCCTGACTAAACTGGCGGCAGACGTGCTTGCCAGCCTCCCCGATGCTGATTTAAGCGGAATTAGTGTCAGCACTGCCTCATGGCGCGATGGGCCGTCGCTGGGCAATTCCGGCTCAGGCGAGGTGATTGATATTCCTGAGGCGGCACCTAATTGTCTTACGGGGCTTACCATTGTATTTACGGGTCAGTTTACTAAGTTTGATCGCGAACAGGCCGAGGCTACGGCACAACAATACGGCGCTAAAGTCACGAAACTGATTCTGGGACGAACGCTGTGTGTGGTGGTCGGTGACGAAGCGGGACCGTCGAAGATTAAGAAGATCAATGAGCTTGGTACTAAGGCACTCGATCAGGATGGCTTTCTTCAGCTTCTAGCAGAAATGCCTGCTGAAGGTGGTGACAGTAAAGAAGCAGTCAAAGCTCGTGAAGCTCGCGAGAAAGAAGCAGAAAAAGTTGAAGAAATGGCGGCTGCCTTTGATGAACTTGAAGAGCTTGAGAATTTGACGAAAGCCCCGTCTAAACCTAGAGCTAAATCTAAGGCTACTTCTTCCACCAATGCATCCTCGTCATCATCTTCGGGACAATCTAAACAAGTGGATGTACATGAAATCATTGCCACCATACCCGATGCCGTGCTTCCTGACGTTGACCCGTCGCAGAAGCCAAACTTCTTCGCTAAAAAGGAGTCTGGTGGTGGCGGTGGCGATGTTCCCGAGATTCCCGAAGCCGCTCCCAATTGTCTTACGGGGCTTACGATAGTGTTCACCGGTACTTTGCCGACAATGGACCGCGACACTTCCAAAGAGCTTGCTACCAAATATGGTGCTCGCGTCACCGGACTGATTCTGGGAAAAACTGATATAGTGGTAATTGGCGACGAGGCCGGTCCGTCAAAGATCGAAAAGATCAAAAAGTTGGGGATCAAAGCCATCGACGAAGATGGGTTCATCGAGCTTTTGCGTAAAATGCCTGCTGAAGGTGGTGATGGTGACGCAGCCATCAAGGCAAAGCAGAAGCGTGATGCTGAGGCTGAAGCTGCACTTGAAGAAGCCGCCAGAGACGCCGCTCAGGCCCGTCAACAGGCGGCGGTTAGCGACGTGCCGGAGTCCGCTCAGTTATGGACATCTAAATACGCTCCCAGAGATGTGAAGCTGTTGTGTGGTAACAAGGGACAAATCAGCAAGTTGACGGAGTGGCTCTCGACGTGGTTTGAGACTAAACGGCGCGGGTTCACGTTTAAGGGCAATCTGTTCCCCGCAGTGATGCTCAGTGGTCCTCCTGGGGTCGGTAAGACTAGTGCCGCCCACATTGTCGCCCGGCTGCTTGGGTATGATGTGGTGGAGAAGAACGCCAGTGACGTGCGGCTGAAAAAGTTGCTCAATCTGGAGCTTAAACTGGTGTTGGATAACACCAGTGTGGTGGGTTTTTTCCACAAACGGGCGGTGAATGCTGGTGAAGCGCCAGCAGAAAACGTCGACAATAAGCAGAAGTTCGTGCTTATTATGGACGAAGTCGATGGTATGTCTACTGGTGACCACGGCGGTGCCGGGGCGCTTGCAGCCTTCTGCAAGACGACGCTGATGCCGCTCATTCTCATTTGCAACGACCGCTCTTTACCCAAGATGAGAGTATTTGATTTTAAAGTGCTTGATCTCCGGTTCCAGCGGCCTAAGGAGGCTGAGGTGAGGCTGAGACTCATGATGATCGCCCACCGTGAGAAGATTAAGCTTGAGCCACTGGTGATTGCCCAATTGTGGCAGGCTACCGGTAGTGATATGCGCCAGATGATCAATCTTATGCTGCACGTGCTGACGACACTGAAGCACATTGGCCTGGGCGGGTCGAAGGAGTTAGCTCAACAGTGGAAAAAGCAGGCTCCGCTTAAGCCTTTTGACATCACCCCGCGGTTATTGGGCGGTCAGATTTGGCTCCCACAACTGCAACACACGTTGAACGACAAGCTCGACTTGTTCTTTGGTGACATGGATTTGATCCCCCTTATGATCCAAGAGAATTATATCAACAATAACATTCTGGGGGTGGCCAAGGGGCTGAAGCAGGAGCTTTTGCGCATTTCGGAAGCGGCCGACTCCATCTCCCAGTCGGATAGAGTCGGCGCCATGGTCAGAGGCAGTGAGCCCCAGTGGTCGCTCTTGCCGTTCATGGGGATCATGTCGTCGATCGTACCGCTGTCGAAGGTGGCCGGGCTGCCTGGTGGGCGCATCGACTTCCCCAAATGGTTGGGCCAGTACTCGAAGACCAACAAGTTCCAGCGCATGCTCCAAGAGCTCTACTACCACACCCGGTTGCTGACACTGACGGACAAGGTGCTGTTGCGGCTTGACTACATGGGCGACTTCCAACAGGCGTTGCTGAAGCCATTGCTCGCCAAAGGCGAAGAAGGCATTGAAGATGTCATCGAGACTATGGACCTGTACTACATGACCAAAGACGACTACGACAACATCATGGAGTTTGGCATTGGGCCCAGCACCAACCCTGTGGCCAAGGTGCCCACCAAGGTGAAGTCAGCGTTCACCAGGGCCTACAACGGGCGCACCCACCCCACCGCCATCTTCAAGACGGGTAACCTGACGGCGGCAGCGACGCGGGCGCCGAAACAACGGGTGGACTTTGATGACGTCGTCGAGGACGACACCGTCGACGACAAGCCCGAGGTAGAGGAAGACAGCGACGAAATCGACGCGAAGAAGGACAAGTTGATCAAACAGGTGAAGCGCAAAAAGCCTGCGGCAAAGTCGGCAACGACGGCGAAGAAGCGCAAAACTGCCAAATAAGCCACTCTTGCGAATGGATGACGGGAAATGTGTTTAGCCGTTTCTGGTTTTGCATGGGTCTGGTCATTCGCCGAATTTAGGCCCTTGTCGTTTCCTCTAAATTGGCGGGAGCAATTGTCTGTCCCTCTAGGCTACACCGGTTGAGGTGACGACGAGGCGCCACGCCACACACACGATAGAGGAATTTGTAGCATTACCTAACTCTCCAATCATACTAATAAAGGCCAGAAAAGCAACGGAAGGGGGAGGTAAAACGCCAGGATGTTGACAACTTTAGTTC